ATTCTGTCTGAGCCTTTGTTTTTTCTCCTCTTCATACATGGTCCATATACTATCTAGGCTCATCTTCAGAGCATTAGGCCACTCAGGGTCAACCCACTCAACATATTTGCATTTAGGTACTTCCTAACAATTTATACCAAACAAAAAATTCAATTAACTGCTAGTATTCAGTTCTATGCATGATGATGAAACTTAAAACATACTTCAAATGACTTCCTGTTTAACAGTGCCAAATGCAAAAAAATACTAACCTTCTGTGCACAAGCTAGAAACCTTTTGCCACTATCAACAGATTCAAATGCCACATGCTTCTCACACAAAGATCCATGCCCACATCTAAAGCTATGCAGATCTGTAGCCAAGCCACTCCATTCCTCACAGGAAATTGTGGCAGGTGGCTAAAAAAAAGAGAGACATTTGGAATCAATTGACAGAGAAGCCCTAGCTAAGAAACCCTAGACCGGGTGGGGAGCACACTAACCTTGCTGGTTACAGAGTCATCTTTAGAAGAACTGGGAAGATCATCCCAGGACACCATGGTTACTGTTGGATGCAAATGAGAAGGGGATCTGGTGGTGCTATTGGATAGAGGGGAGAAGGGATCTGGTGGTGCACGAAATTGAAGATGAAAGATGAGGAAGAAGGAGGGGATCTGGTGGTGGTGGTGGACCAAAGCTACATCTAGTGTGCAAGTTGTTGGGTGGGTGTTTGCAGCAGGTGCAAGTACATGCTTGCTTTTGAGTTTAGTTGTGTTGAGAAAGGGGACCTGGGTTGACATGAGTCACAGTTATGACAACAATTAGTTAACATAAGTTAGTTCAGTTATGACAGCAATTAGGTTAAGTGCATTTCTGTCAGCAATTAGTTATGACAGCAGTTTTGTCAGTAATTTCAAAGCAATGAGGATAAGTACAATAGAATTAGGAGAAAGTACACTTCTGTCAGAATTAGTTTAACTACACTTTTGACATCAAATACAGTTCAAACATTAGGACAAAGTCTTCAGATTACTGATATATTATCCATTACAACAAGCATTACAACCAAGACTTCATACTGAGCAAACAACCACATTGGTTTTAGTATGCTCAATTTAGAACAAGAGATCTCTTGGAACACCTACACCTACTCATTTAACAACACTTCACTTCTTCATAATTAAGGTGCAACACATCACACAAAGCACTACAACAACAGCCATCAGCAGCTTTAGCAGCAACAAAATCTCTCTGCCTAATCCTAACAGCATAGCAACTTGCTGCTTGGTAGCATACTTATTCTCAGTGGAGCTGACATAATTAGTTCTGCCTATAGTGCCTCTTCCAGCCATGCCTCTTCCAGTCATGCCCCTTCCAACTGTGCTTCTGCCTGCCATTGATTCAGTCCTCTGCATCTCAAGCTCTTCCCTCCTGTCCTCAGCTGCACCAATTGCATCTACAACAGCATCACTAACCAGATGCCTTGTTTCAACCAGATGCACCAAATATTCAAGCTCCCAGCGCCAGAAATCACAGAGAAAAAATTACAGAGTGACAGTAAAGTTCAGAGTGCATGAATCAATGGCAGACTAGTTAACCAACTAGTTCTGTGAGTAATTTTGCAACCAAGGACAGTCTAAACTACTGTATTACTCAAAGCAATGACTAGTTAACCAACTAATGTGCCTAATTTAATCAGTGCTCTGCTTCAATACGGTTGCTAAGAATTGACATGGCATGAATCAACAAGTAGCTAGGAACTGGCACTTACAGTGTGCTTTACGCACTTGTAGAAGATCCATCCATCGTGCTCATCGGTGCTAGACCGGTAGAACCTCACCTACTCGCCGCAATCCGGGTACCCGGTCAATGGTACAGCAACGGAGCGGCCACGCAATGCATTGCGGACGGAGCTGGAAGACAACATGACGATGGGGACGGAGGCGGCGGAGGAGGGCGTCGGCAATGGCTATGGCGGCGGAGGGCGTGGATGTCGGCAATGGCTGTCGCAGCGGGGACGGGAGTTGGGAGGAGAAG